ACGCCACGCCGCTCCCGACGCGCTGCTCACGGGCGTGGGGTGCTAATGCGCGCAGCGGCCCTGGCGTGCCGTGCCGTGCCCCGGCGTTGTCAAGTCGTTGAGCTGCTCAGCCCAGCCGCCATGGCCGTGCACGTATACAGTACACGCGTGAATATAATAAGATTTGGGATTTGGTTTAGAGGTTAGGGTGGCCTTATCCGCCGATTCTTTCATGTTTCCGGCTATTCCACGGTTATTCCCTCATTCATTGCCGCATTGACTCATTCGGCGTAGGCCTCTGTGGCGGCCCTTAGGCTGGCGAGCATCGCCCCCCGACGCAGGCCCCTGTGCTGTGCGCCCTTAGGCTCCCGCACCCTGCCTCGCTCCGCCCCGCCCTGGGGTTGGGTTGGGGTCGTCGACCTTGGCGTCTGGCGGCGCGGCGCGGCGCGGCGCGGATGTGGTGCCGGCCGGTGCCGCTCAGTGCCGCTCCACGGCTGCACCTCGGGACGGGAAGGGGACGGTCCATAATGCCGAAGCTCGTGTAATTATTGCTCTTGTTGTTCTCAGGCTACCTGCTCACCCGGCAGGAGGGCAAGATGGGCTCGCCCGAGAAGCCCCTCTCGGACCTGGGGCTCATCTCGTACCGGTCGTACTGGAAGGACGTGCTGCTCGAGTACCTCTGCAACTTCGGCGGCAAGGAGCTCATGGTGAAAGGTAAGTGGAGGGTAGAGGGTCCCTATCAGGGTGCCGTCGCTTCTCTTGCGCGTCCGACCCGCGGGGCAGGGGCAGGATGCAGTCGGCTGCGGGGTTCGGCTCGGCTGGTCCACCGGCCCCGCCGCGACTCGAAATAGACCGTCTGGGGTGCGTTCGGTTAAGCCACCGCCTTGTCTTTAGGCCCGCGTCTTCACATTCGAAAAATAAAGAGGAAGGCGAAACGAAACAAAACAGAAAAAGAACCTGCTGTGCGCCTAATGTGAACGCGTGACCTCAACGTGTAATTTTAGAAGACCCGCTCGGGTAAAGGGCGAGTAAAAGAGGAAGGGAAAAAAAAGACAGATTTTCCTCGAACTAAGTTTAGAGTTTGGATTCATTGCCCCTTTCAAACGACGAGCACTCAGCCGTTAATGTGTGCACGTAAATGATGGCAAGTTCCTCGGATGGCCTCGACGTTTTTGGTTATCCGATAATCCCCCTCTCCAGCCCAACTTTGAGGGCGCTCTTGAATTTGTTAATTTCTTTTTATGCACTTTGTTTGGAAATGTTGCGAGGACGATACCTTTGTGACATGTTGCAGACATCAGCCAGGAAATGGCTATCAACCCGAGCGACATCGTGAGCACACTGCAAGCCATGGGCATGATCAAGTACTGGAAGGGCAAGCACATCATCCTCAAGAAGCAGGTAAAAGCAGTTAACTTTTTATTTGTTGTATTTACTTTATCTTACAAATGTGCATTCGTGAGTGGTGCCTCGGCTAGGCACTAATTGCAATTTGAATTAATTTCCCCTTCTTCCTCGTTAGTATCGTTTGTTGCCCGTTTTATTGTTTTACCCCTCATTTTTATTTTTGCTTTCCACCGTTGTTGTATTTGGTGGCTGCTCAGCTTCATTTCCTGTTCGTTAAAATGATAAAATGAAGTAAGTGGCTTTAGGCCGAGACGAGCCGAGTCGTTTTTGCTGTGCTCTTCGACGTCTCGAAAGGTTCGCAGTCTGAGCTCGCGCTGCTGCCAGATATAACTACCAAAGTCTGTAAAAGACGTTAAAGCTACCAGTATGTGACAGGTCCTAGGCGTACGAAGCAGTAATTTTGTTTTCAATGTTGTCCTTTGTTCTGCTTGTGTGTGTAATGTGTTTGTGTGTTTGGCGACTCACCGCACGAAGGATTGTGTTCCACTCATAGCTATGCAAAGCTTGCCTTTAAATTTTAATTTTCTAGCCTCACGTTCAAATGAGCCTTGTAGTCTCACTCACGCCCCTCGCTGCTGCGCCTCGCTGCTGCATTGCTGCATGTTCCCTCCTCCTCACCCCCCGCGCCCTGCGTGTGGCTTGGCCTTTTTGTGTTTCCAGGATGTGATGACCGTCTACCGAGAGAAAAAGAAGCGCCGTAAGCCAGAACCCCCAGAAGTTGTGCTCGACCCGCAGTGCCTGCGTTGGAAGCCCTACGTGGCGACCACGAGCCCCACCAGCTGACAGTCAGGCCCCTCCGCCCCGCCGCCGCCGCCGCCACCACCGTCGCCGCGCCCCGCCGCCTCAGCGCCTAGAGAGACTCATAGGGAGAGAGGCGTCAACTCGGGGGCCCGCACGCTGCGCTGTGATTGGGTCGGCACTGGGCGGCTCCGTCGGCCAGCCTAACATCTGGCCTCACAGAGGCAGGGAGTTGCGAACCCTCCGGAGCCCGCCGGGCTCCGGCGAGCCCCCTAGGGTCAGGCGACACAGATGCGCGGCAGCGCTGCACCGGAGTGCGCCCGGCGGCGCTGCCGAACGTCGTCCGAACGACCGTCGGGGTGCATTCGGCACGTCCGCCCGGCCAACCAGCGAGCGCAGCGCCTAGCAGCGCCGACCCAATCACAGCGCAGCGCCCAGGACCTCGAGTTGACGGCTCTCTCCCTATGAGTCTCTCTATCAGCGCCGCACTGGCCCGTGGGGCGTAGCAAGGCGTAGAGCGCGACGGCTCAGTAGGTTCACGCCCCGCCACGCCCCGACTGCTCACAGCTGACCCCTTTCTGCAGAGGGGTTGCCACGTCTAATCGATTATCGATCAATCGATTAATAATAACGCCGGCATTTCCACTGCGCTACGCGTAGGGTGCAAGATGGCGGCGGCAGCCGTGGTTTGACAGGGCTCTGAATGCGTCCTCCGCTTGCCTCCCTGCCGCCCTTCCTCTCCGTCACGGTCGTGCCGCCCGCCTCCAAAAGCTTACACTGTGTCTGTCTTGCACGTGTAGTGTATGTAGTAGTGAGTTGTGTCGCTTGTGCATGTGAGGCGTGAAGTGAAGTAGTGACAGGGATGGGGTGAGGGGAATACTTCACTTGTTTACCGCAGGTCTCAAAAAGACCTATAGAAGAAGGTACGTTTTCGAGTGTAGACAAAAAGGGTACGATCGATGTCGCCTTTGCCCTTTATATGCATGCGAGGGACAGGGGCTGGGGTGGGGGAGGAGGGACATGTAAAGGGGGCGTGGTCACGGGGTGGGGGTGGGGTGAAGGGAACAGAAGAAGGTGTACTTTCGAGTCTCGACAAAAAGAGTATACGATCAATGTAGCAGCCGTGCGTGCCAATATATTGTGAGGGAATGACATACGGATAGGAAGGGCCTTACTTAATGTGTGTTGATGGGGTGAAGGGGGACAAAGAAGTAGGTGAACAGTGTCTACAGTCTATTTACATCTGTGTAAGTCATGGGGTTTTTAGCGGGTTGGGAAACTTGAAAATGTGCAATGTTAGTATTGTTTTAAAACTGCCAAAAGTGAGCAGGGGTGTGTACTTTAGATTCGTGCCAAGAGGGGCAGTTTTGGGGGTGACGGACTCCGATCCTGAGTGGATCACATCGGCCAGGGACCACCGACCACCGTGCTCACCCCCTTGGCGCCCTCGTGTTCCAGGACGTGCTTGAGGACTACCAGGAGCGGTCCAAGCGCCGCAGCCCGGTATTCAAGGAGCTGGACCCCAAGTGCCTCCGGTGGAGCCCGTGGTTGGCGCCGAGCACCGCGGTCCCCGGGCCCGGGCCCGCCTGATCCAGGCTCCCGGGGGCCCCGCCATCTGGCGGGGACCCCCAGGCCAAGCAGGCGACCGCCGGCCCCAGCAGGGGCAAGGCGCCGCCCAGGCTTGGCCACCACGGCTACCTCGCCCTGGCCGCCGCCTCGAGCTCCGGCGTGGGGACCAGCGCGGGGTCCGCCGTCCCCGCCAAGGCCCCCGGCAAGCAGCGCGATCGCCACGGCCCCCGCGGGGCGGGCGCGAGCGGCAGTGCGGGCGGCGGCGGCGCGGGCGCGGGGGCCGGCAGGGCGCACCGCTAGGGGCGGCCCGCGCAGTCGCCCTGTCTCAGCCCATCGTGCCGCCGCGAGAGGACGCCGCGCTCGCGGCGGGACGATGCCCTGACACCGCGCGAATGTGCGGAGCCGACCCCCGGGGCCATCATGACCCCCGCGGTGGTGGCAGAGTTCAGGAGGAACCTGGCGCTGTGCGCGCGGGCCTGTCTCAACCGACTGGCCTCGCCGTGGTACCTGTGATCTCATGGGCCGCGGGGCCGCACCGTGGCGTGCCTCACGGCGTGCCCCATGGCATGCCTCTCGGCCTGCGCTCCAAGGCCGGACCCGGTGCACAAGCCTCTCACTCTCTGCGTCTCTTCCACTTTTCTCGCCCGTACCGATGACGTTTGACATTCAACGGAGCCGCAGTCGCGGTTTCTTTGGATGTCGAGTGCATTGTTGAGGAGGATTGAAATGTTTCGTACTTATTTATGTGAAAGAGTTCTGATTTGTACCTGTTATTGTCTTGTGCTTAGTCTAGTATAATGTAAATATGTACATACAGAGGGAAAAGTTTATCGTTTTAATTTGTGTTGCCCGGTGAACTGTAATTTGTATTTTAATTTATGCGTGTGTGTATGTGTGTTTTCTAGCGTGTACACAATATTTTATGAGTTATTTTTAATTATTATATTGTGAGTTTTGTGACTTAACGTTTCGAGGAATTTTGTTGTTAGCCTAGGTTGTGTTCTGGCTCCAATGAGACTTTTAGAATATTTTTTAATTGTTTTAATTGTAAAAGTGCAGAAATTGTGGGCCTACTCATAACATCATGTACACAAATTTAGGTGGAGTGTTTTTTAACCTAATTTTGGCGATTTATTTTGTGTGTTTGATCATGTCTACACATGATGAGGTCCTACATGTTTTGACGTTGTCACTGCACGCTGTTTAACTTTTAATCACTTTTGTGAAAATACTTGTTTTTGAAACCATTTTACCTTTTCGACATATGGCATTTTACCTAATCAATTTTTATAAATGTAGATGACTCCTTTCTGCGATGTAGATTATTTGCGTCATCGCTGGATCACTTTCTACTCTTCATATCAGGCCAAGAGCAATAAAAACTAGCAAATAACCTGCTGGGAAGGTGTAGTGATAGTGAAACCACTTGTGATATTACAGTTGTCTGTATAGTGTTAAGAATTTATGATTAGATTAATTTTTTTTACAGAAAATGCTATATTATATATATACATATATATTGACTCTTGAGTCTACCGTTTCACGCCAACGTGTCTGTGTTGTATGAAATGAATTTTGAAGTGAAAATTTGAATAAAATGGAATTAATTAAGTTTTATTGCATCCATGTATTCCTTCTGACCTGTAGG